CCCCAAAACCCCAAAACCCCAAAACCCCTTTAAAAATTGTTAAAATTGTTACCAAATTTAGAATATTTTAAAAAATGGAGTCAACTCAGGATGAGAAACTTGGAGAAGATCTGAGTGAACAGATAGGTCAGTGGTGAGGGAGATTGGGGAAAGTGGGGAGGTTGAGGGGGTTTTGGGGTGGGGATTTTGGGTGAAGGGAGTTGAAGTTGGATATAGTGGGAACAAGGATATGTCTTAAGGGAGACTTTGGAACGATAAGGTACTTTGGGAAGTTACAGTTGGAAAAGGCAGGGGATGATCATTGGTATGGGGTTGAGTGGGACAGGAAGGAGTCGAAGAAGGGGTTTTATACAGCGTATACGGATATTAATGAGGGTATTGAGGAAGCTAAGAAAGTTCATGTTGAGACGAAGCAGAGGGGAAATCATAATGGGACAGTTGAAGGGGTGGAATATTTCACTCCTATTTATAATGGACCTCAGGATAAGTGATGTTCTTTTATTAGAGAGGGGAAATTAGTATTTGGAACATCTATCAAAGAAGCTCTTGAGGAGAAATATCAGGTTTATAAGGAAAAGACTGAGGAAGAAAAGCAGAAAAGTGAGAAAGAAGAGGAAGAGTCTCTTTTTGTAGGGACTAATACTGGAGGTCAGATGAGAGTAGAGGTTGTAGGAGTTGAGAAGAGTTATAATTGGAGAACAGATATTTCCAAAAGCAGTGAAGTTGCGCTACAAAGTTTAAAGATTGATAAAGTTGGACCACCAGGCACTTTGAGAGATATGATTCCGATATGTCAGTACTTGTATCTTGACAATAATCTACTATGGAATTGGGATCAATTCTTCTTGATTACGAGGCAACTGAAGTTTTTGCATACTCTTAATCTTTCTGGAAATAGGTTCAAAAGAATAGATGATTCTTATATGGCAGAAAAGAACGTTAATGACTTGATTAATCCCTCTTTGAAAGTTCTAGTCCTTAATAAAATGCAACTTGACTGGAGCCAGATTCATATTATTGCTCCTGCGCTTACATTATTGCAAGAGTTGCATCTTTGAGAAAATAATTGTAGTAAGATTTCCTCCGAATATGAAATCTCGAAGGACTGATGGAGGGATTTGATATACCTCAACTTAGAAGATAATAAAATATCAGGCTGGGAAGAAATTCAAGGATTTAGAAAGCTAAAAGAGCTTAAAAAGCTAGGTTTAGGAATAAACCTGATCCAAAAAGTAGAGTTCAGGCCAGGCTTTAGACAGCTCACAGCTGTTGATTTATACCAAAACCTTATTGACAACTGGGAGAGTATCGATCAGCTCAATAATTATTTTGAATTGACCAGGCTCAGACTTCAGGATAACCCGATTACTTCAGGTGAGAAGCACAAAGAAGCTAGAGACCAAGTCTTCGCAAGGATTCAGTATCTCAAGCACTATAATGGAAGTGCAGTTCAGGAGAAAGAGAAGAATGACTGCGAACAGTTTTATGTCTCAATGGCTTACAAAGATTTTCTTGAGAATCATGGAGGAATTGAGAAAGCAAAGGTAGAGTCTCTTGAAGACCTCACTTTGGGAGGGTACATGACAGCCAAGCATCCTCGATTTTATGAACTTGTTGAGAAGTTTAAAGTCAGTTTGGAGCACCTCAATTCACAGAAGGAAGATAAAGAGAAGAAGATGAAGAATAATTTAGTATCTGTAAAACTCATTTCGCAACTTGAGCATAATGAAGGTAAAACTTTTAAAAAGAAATTACTTCCTTCGATGATCGTTGAAAATTTGAAAGGCTTGTGATGCAAACTTTTTAAGGTAGATATTTTATCAATGAGACTAAGATTCAGAGATGATGAAGTTAGCCAAGTTTATTATGATATCAATGAGAACCTCCGTCAGCTCTCGTTCTATGGAATTGGTGATGGATGAGAGATATACATATCTTCAGTTGATTAATTGCGTAATGCATTGTGTTCAATATATTAATCTAAATTAGGGGTTTTGGGGTTTTGGGGTTTTGGGGTTTTGGGG